CGATTGGGATAGTGTAGGTTATTGTAATAGGACATTAAAAAGTGTTATAGTTCGAATATATAGATTTGAAGAGATGTTTAAAACGGAAAGGAAGATTGAGGTAAGTGTTATTTATGTTGTTTGATATGCAGTTTAACTTTTTGGCTAACGACTCAACTAATTTTAGACTTAGTCCAAGCTCGTAGGGTAGACAAGCCAAAAGCTTTATGAACACCAAATGAATAGGAATTTATTTTCTGGGAAACATTCCAGTTATACCAGGAAACATTTTCGATGATTAAGAAAATCTGAACTAAACAATTCTCTGACTTTTCAAATTTCTGGGCGGAGGAAGAGACTCTATCAGATTAAGTTTGCACTTCCGATTTGTAGCAGTACGAGCTTGAAATATCGCGGATCCGGGATCGGCAAAGTACAGCTTCAATTAAGGCATTTCAAGATTCCTTTCTCATTTCTTTCTCATTTTACTGCAGATCTGACATAATTACGGCAAAAAATACTAACCAAGAGGTCGGCAAGCAAATCCCTGCCGTATCTGCAGTAAGTTAACTTTTATTCTTCGATTCATATACACCGTATTTCCTCCGATAAGCTCCGGTCAGGCGCTTATCTAAACACCTCAACAGACAGAGGCTTGTTTTGTATGAGACCAGGCAATTTATCATCGGGTGGATAGCACAGTATGTTTTGCTCACACTTATGCACTTCATAGTGACTTATTTTGTAGATGGCGTCAGACCATTATCTGAACAACTGGGGTCTGATTTACGTGTACAATGATTACACGTGGCGATCATGTATTTTTCTTTCCTATCAAATTTTTTTGATAGTAACTGTAGAAATCCTCATATGCTCAATGGTCGAGGGCTATTGTCAATTTAACAAATATCGTCCATATTGCCGTGCGTCTGTTCAATAATAGATCATAGCTAACAACAAAAGTAGTGCTGTAAAGAAAGTGGCACACAAAAGTGGCGAAGCCCCCACTAAATACAATATAAAATTTTAAAATAAGGATTTCAATTTTACTCATCCTTGTGCAAACATTAGAGTGGTTTAAGGCAAGCTGGCATATACTATCAGGCTTTCAGAACTACTTGATGTTCTCTTGAACCCACTGAACAGATAGTCACTTAGATCTGTTGGCACAATTAACTTTAAACAACAAACATATGAAATACATATATATGAACTG